TATATGCTGCGATCACTCCATTATAGCCTCCATTATAGCCTATATAGACCCATCACCCTCCAAAGCAGTACGAATGTACATGTATGCCCATCTTCTGATTTACTGTATTCGTTTTTTATTAAAGTTTTATACAGTTTTCGGTGTTGAAACAGGGATTAAAATGTTTATCTATGTAGGGTCTATATAGTGTTTTGCAAAAATATACCCAGAAACATTAAAAAGTAGACAACAATGCAATACAAAGATGCTGCCTTGTAGGTGTATAAGATATGGAGTGCTGAGAGTGGAATAAGTACAAGGAGGTTTAATCTTGTATTGCCACACAGTTGCAAATGTGTATGGAGACTAGCTAGGCTTGTGAGAGCTGTATCTGACAGCTCACTGAATGTGATGGATAGCACACCCTTGCCCTGTGATGTGCATGCACATTTGATGTTGAAATGGCCTATCCATGGGACCATTGTCTTTCAATCATGTCAAGGCAAAGTACAGAACAGAGCACATTTTCTGCTGCCTGGCGTTATTACTATGCCACAGTTTACAGCACAATCCATACACCGTGCCTGCACAGAAATGTTCTTCAGTCCTCTTGCTATGCTGTTCACTTTAAAGATACCTAATTTGATCTTTTTTGGGATGCATCTGCATTAAAACAGTGATAATCTGGACTCTTTATCAGTCTTTATAGTGCTGCAGACAGGCTTTCATTAGGTGAACCTGCATGTGAATAAGGGCGCATGTAACACAGAGGAAGGGTGTAATTGTTTTCACACAAACCGTGACAGCAGCATCTGCCCACTGCTGCAGTTCTTATGTTCCCAACCTTCTGAAATTCAAAAAGCCGGTCATTATTCCAGCAGGTCTATTATGCTGCAGTGCAACCTCTTTATTTAACAGTGAGGGCCCTACACTGGTAGGCACGTCCTGCCACGGCCCGGCACACAAAGGGTTAACCACATGGCTCTGTGCCATGGCTTCATGGGAATGGAATGTGGAGTGCTGTGTGTGCAGGGCTCCTTTCCCAGCATCCCTCACTGCCCAGGCGCATGCTAATGATCAGTATTATTGAAGCACAATTGATGGGCTAGCAACCAAACAAGAGAAACTAATTACTACTAAGGCTTTATTGTCCTTTAATTACCGAAGCTCTATGGCAATTAGTGCTGCACAAAGACACAGCCCTACTTTAATCTCAAATAAAATGTGATGCAGATGAAAAAATTTGGAAGATGAAAGGTAGATAAGATAATTTGGCTTTCGGTTCATTCTGCAGAAATGATGCCTGATTTGGGTAAAGCGTGGAACAACAAAAGAACTGCTGAGGACCGTGCTAATTTAAACTGAAAATCATCTCAAAACAGATTCAGCGTGTGATATTTCAGTGACCTTGGACAGCTAAATAGCCAAAAAATGTGGATGCTGAAAACCTGTTTCCAAGTTACTGTAGAAAATATTCAGGCAAGCCTCCAACACTTGAAGTCATTAAAATATGACTTACAAAGTTGCCGTTATGAAAAAGAACAGTGTCTTTGCAAAGTCATTCTTTAGCTGTGTTACACCTTTCTGAGCTACTTCTTTACTGAAAGAACTGTTCAGACCCAGCTTGGGCAGGGGAAAGTGAACCTGTGTAATATTTATAGTGGCTAGGACTCAATATGTAGCTATGCTCAATATCAGTTTATTCTCAAGGAGACTGTGACAAGATTTCAACTTGGGACAAGATAACTTCAAATTTGAAATTGTTCTCTTTGTTCTCACTTTGAGCAGTTGCTGAATACCCTCCCTCCCCCCTTCTGCATCAGACTTTTCACAGTTTCGAAAGTATCATATCCATTTTAAACATCTAAGCGGGTTCATGCATTGTTAAAGGAGTTTCAAAATTAGTGTAAAACATACAGTAAAGTGAAGCTACACGTGTCAGTGATAGCCTCTACTAATTAAAACTAGAATTCATAAACAAAGTTACAGAGTCGAACAATATGCAATTTATCTGGAATTTGGCAATCTAGCTTCTCTGTCAACAATCATGCATACACAGCTGCTGATGAATTTCAGTTACAAAACTCTTAGCACACTGCAGAGTGCAACAAAACGTGGCAAAGAGGAAAATAAATAGTTGCGATATGCACTAACAAGAAAATAATATATAAAGAAGCAGGCAGTATAGTAATTAGGTAGTAAGTCAGAGGTAAAGCTGGAATAAAAGGCACAAAAAAGTTATGGTAATGGTTATACAGTGTGTGTTTTTTCACCTCTTCAGCCTCATTGTGTTAGCAAACCAAGTAATCTATCTGTTGTTACTTATTACATTCTGATTCTTAACCAGCTTTTTAGTATTATTGAATTATCTCATTTTTTATCCTTATTAGTTTATTTTTTACATTGACTTGCTTATAACTGCTACATAAAGCGACACACAAAAGAAGGAAATTGCACAATGTTTTTGTCACACAGAAAGCCGTGTGGGGGTAAATGTAGGTGATCTAAAAGAAGTGTGTTTAAAAATTTTTTTCCAGTGATTATTTTGCATTGAATCTAAAACAAATTTACATGATATAAACCCACACGTTTCTTAGCAGGTAGCCCTTCACCTTATTTTAAATAAAGCAGCACATTAGCACTTTGCCCGTGTGACTACATGTATTTTTCAGGGGAATTTAAATTATTATAATTCTTTTATGTAATAAGATTAGAAATAAACATTCATTTGCATGCAGCTGAATGAATTATACCACATGAGAGCATGACTTCTAATTTCTTTTTTTTTTTTTCTTTTTCTTTTAAAAAAGTTAATTTGAGGTTGTTGGATTATTTTTTTTAAATCATTTAGATATAAGGAAACTGAAATAACAAGGAATGACCTACATGCCATTTTGTGTAGGAAAGATTGTTCTGGTTTTGGTTTCATATGAACTTGTGTATATATGACAAACCCAGAGTAGTGCATGCTTTACTTGTACTAGTTAGTTCTGTTCATGAAAACTACGTACCTAATGGTAGATTTGTTAAGATATGTATCCATGTTATTGACACAAACAATATTAAAAAAACTTCCCCTACATTAACCAGGAAGGATTATTCTGTCATTTATGAGCATTAAATAAACCTTACAGTATATACAGTTTCTTCCAAAGAACACATTACCTACATACCTGCCTTGCCATCACTCCATAATAAATAACAGCAAATTCATGAATCCCTTCAGGGCACATCCAGTTAAATTCATCTCAGGGCTAAGGGATACATTCAAAAGGTTGTTAGTTTACTGAGAATCATTTCATAAATTGTTAATGGACCTGTGTCATTACTCTTCTTTTAAAAGGAAGGAGTAGGAATATAAACAATTACTTTCCCTGGTGCCGTGAGTTTAACTATTATTTGTAACTCTGTCACCTGAGGAAAACCTAAGGGGAAACAGTTTGTCCAGGAGTGCTGACCTTTGACCCCTTTTGTCAGGTTGCAGCAACCTGGATTATTATAGTAGGGCATGGGAACCAGCAGTGTGTCCCGAGTGTGTCAACAACCTGATCTAAGTTTACAAACATTAGATAAAGTAAGATGTTAATAATTCATTTACAAAAGAATGATGGGTAATTTTCCATCTGTCGCGAATATAACTTTAACCATGCATTATGAAACAGAAGAGATTAGAGGTGGTGGTATATTGTCCACAGTGCAGCTCTGCAGACAAGGAGGTCATGACCTAGTTTCCCCAGAGGTCAGCTCCCACAGTCTGTTGCTGGACTTTAAGCCTTTAAAATCTGAACCACTAAAAGATTAAGTCCATGTGTGGTTTTTCCTGACTTACTTCATACAAGGAAAATGCTCACTCAATAACAGACACAGTGCCTGTAAATCTGAACTAGCAGCGAGGAAAATGCTGAGATATTACTTGACTGACATCATGTCCTCATTGTGTCATCCACCTTGCAAATCAGCCTGAAGCATAATTAAGGAAAATCACCACAGGGCTTACATGCATTGACTCTTGATTTGGTAAAAGAGACATGTATACCTTTTCCCCCTCTGCATGAATGGCTGCAGGAAGACAGAGAAGCTCAGTGAGAAAGAGAGCAGACTTGTCAGTCTGACCACGTTTCATTTAGCACTTAATTTCAAGGAAATTTAAGAGTCTTTTAATTGCCTATAGCATTTCAGCTCTCATTCTGGGTAAGAACATACTGTAAGTCTGCAGGAGCTTACTTCACTGTTTTTTCACATCATTAAAAATGGCCAACAATGTCTGAATAAAAACAAAGAGTACGTTATTTTGATTGCCTGTGTTTAGTATGCGTGATCACAGCAAGTCGGCGACATTCGATCAAGATTTTTATTTTTATGGACATATCTTATCTGATACATATGAGCGAGTGCATGTTTTGTGCACACGCAGGGAAACAGGACCTATTCTTACTTCTAATCAACGTGGCACACGGCATCATTTGACATCGAAAATTGTTTGTCGTTCAGGCGGAGATATTATGAGTCATTTCTATATAAAGAAATTCAAGCATCCAATCATGGTGCCTTTCAGATGAGCAATTAGGACTCTTTTTGAGTGCTCAAATTACATATGTTTTTATCAAGTGGGAGAAAAAAAAAGAAAGAAAAAAATAGGCTAATTTGGATTCATGCATCTTTTCATGCAGAAATAATAACTGATAAACACATTTTATTTTTCAGTCAGTGCATTTTTTTTAAATTTATACAGAGTGTGCTAACATGTTATATTTGTATCATTTCATATCATATAACAGATACT